GAAGGATGCTTTGGAGCCTGGTGTTTATTAACCTGCACAGTGTGTGTCCCTGTGAATAGGTCCCGTGAAAAAGTGTTCTCTCTCATCATAGTAGGGGAAAAAGCTGAGTTTCTATCTCACAGATACTGACTCACGCAGCTGAAACCATCGCCTTCTCCAAGTCGGCTGCCGCAACGCCCAGACAGAAATCAGTGGGCCACCTTACAAATGTAGAGGAGATTCCACAGTTTATGTACTAGCCTCCCCGTTACTTCATTTTATAAATATTCAACCTTATTGTGTTGCATATATTTAGGTAAATGTTCTAAATCTTTTGGGACCAAGGCAGGCTCGTACACAGGCACTACAGAGCTGAGAGAACGAACAAACGAAACATCATCACATCATCACAGATTGGCTACTTTAACGATTCTGCCTTTAGTTTCCCTCCGATCCCCAACACTTCTGTATCACATGATACTTGGAATGTGCGTTTTCACACTTATCAAAACAATCTTAATTGTTTTTTTTTTTTTAATCTCCTTTTATGGCCAACAGAGAGAGATTTCTAGAATAAACCCAAAATTTGGACTCGGGACCCCTGGCTCCTCTTGTAGCCAACTGCAGAGGATGGTGGGGCCCCTTTGTTTGGGGATTTACAGAGATTGTCTTAACAACACGGACCTCTTTTGTGAGAGCTGAAGGCGTTCCCAGCAAGTGTCGGCTGCAAATGCACTAGCCGAAATGTTACCACAGTCACGGCCCTTCCTCGAACAATCTAAAGCATATTTCTCTCTGTATATATTTGGTTTTTCAGATGCTTTAAAGCCTGGAAAACAATCATAGCTGAGGCCATTTCTGAGATGGCACTAAAAGAACCTACTCGGAGACAGATAAAAATAATGAGAATCTTTCTGTCAGGAAAGATTTAGAAAATATCACTGGCATTATTAAAATTTAATTTTTTACTCTGCTTTTTGGTTCCCCTTTCCAGTGATAATGAGCAGGACTGCACACCTCCGCCTTGCTAGTACTTGTTTTGTGCAATAAATTCAGCCTTCCAGTCTGAAGACATTTCAGACAATAGTTTTGACTGCTATAGGCTTATTTTTTACCCTGTGCTATGCTTTGAGTCTTCCTACAAAAACCAGTTCATGAGATAATTTTCCACAAGGCCAGTGGAACTAATAAAAATCAATTTTGCCCAACTGGTTCAGAGAAATCTTGCGAATAGGCAAGGCAGAACTGCAGAAAGCGGGGAAAAAGGATCAATGTATTCACTAATGGTTTACTTGATAGAGAACTATCAAATTAGCTGACAGGAGATTCTTGGCTGGAGGAATTTTCCTTTCAGCCTAAACAGAAGGCATTTTACAGGCCCAGGAAGAACTTTTCCCTCCCAGGGGCTGAAGATGCTCCAGTATACTGATTCTTCCACGGACTTGCCCATGCCTGTGTGACAGGGCCAACCTGGGGCCTGACAGATGGTGGCCTCTGCTTGTCTAGAGCCTCTTTTATATCAGAGGAGCCAGTTTTATGAAGAGGTGGGCTGCATTTTACTTAAATTGTTCCTAGACCATGAGATCAGTGGGCTGGGAATTCATTAGTTTATTTAGATGCCTTAGGTTCTTGAGAACTTCCCTCACACACCTGCAGACCCATGTCAGCTTTCTTTTTTTTTTTTAATAGAGTCTTGCTTTGTTACCCAGCTGGAGTGTAGTGGTGAAATCTTGGCTCATTGCAACCTTGGCCTCCGGAGTTCAAGTGATTCTCCTGCCTCAGCCTCCTGAGTAGCTGGGATTACAGGTGTCCGCCACCATGCCTGGCTAATCTTTTAAAGAATATTTTTTAGTAGAGACAGGGTTTCATTCTGTTGGCCAGGCTGGTCTCAAACTCCTGACCTCAAGTGATCCGCCCATTTCTGCCTCTCAAAGTGCTGGGATTACACTGGGGAGCCACTGTGCCTGGCCCCATGACAGCTTTCTGACCCCTCATATTGGCTTCTTGGCAATCCAAGTGGGATTTCAAGGGGGCACCTCTTTTATAATCAAAATACAGGCTTAACTACTGTCTGCCTTTCATTAGTTCACAACACCAGTTGAACTAATGGCAAGTCTTTGCACAGAAAGAAAAAGAACTGGAAGGAAATGCAGCCAAGTGTTAACAGTGTTTATATTTGGGTGGTAGGTAATTGTTTTCTATCTTTATGTATTTCTACACTTTCTTGAATTACTGTATATTATTACATATTATTACATATATAATAATGATTATTTAAAATCATGCTAAACTAAGAATTCAGTACATTGAAAAAATGAAACATAATAGATTAATTTATTCACAATGTTATAAGAAAGTAAGAGGGGGCTGGGAGCAGTGGCTCACGCCTGTAATCCAGCACTCTGGGAGGCCAAGGTGGGCAGATCACCTGAGGTCAGAAGTTTGAGAGCAGTCTGGCCAACATATAGTGAAACCCTGTCTCTACTAAAAACATAAAAAATAGCTGGGCATGGTGGCCCATGCCTATAGTCCCAGCTACTTGGGAAGCTGAGGTAGGAGAATTGCTTAAACCAGGGAGGTAGAGGTTGCAGGGAGCCAAGATCACACCTATGCACTCCAGCCTGGGTAACAGAGCAAGACATTGTCTCCTAGAAAAAAAAAAATAATAATAATAGGGAATGTGTGGGGAGAACAAAGTACAAGGGTAAAAATTATTTTTAATTTTTTTTAGTATCTTTTACTATCCTAAGTCCTTCACTCAACTTCTTTTATTTAATCCTCATAACAAATTTATGGCAAAGGTGTCAATGTTCCCATTTTCCAGAGGAGGAAACTGAGGCTGAGAGAATTAAGTTAGCCAAGATCACATGGCTAGTTGGTGGAAAAGCTGGTATTTAAAATCAGATCTAATATCAAGGACCATGTGCAGGACAATAGTGAGAAAAATAACAAGTCACTGAATGTCTTGCTTTCTAGCTCTATCTCTAAACGGCTGTGATGCCAGGTGAGTCACTTTGCATTTATGACTAAAGTCAGGGACAACAACATCTGTTCTTTTTCCTACTTTGTGGGTTCTTTCGATGCTCAAGTTAGATCACACATGTAAAAACAGAAAATGCAATGTTCTACTCAAAGGAATATGATAATATGATAATATTTCATATAATAACAGTGAGTTGAGAGTTGTCACAAATGCTATTTGGGTACTGATCATTTTCAAAGAAAAACTTATACAAAAGCAGGATTACTACTAAGACTATATTGAACACATTTGTTCTCGATGATTCAGAAAGTTTAACAGAATCTGACCCTATCCTAGTCATCATTAGAACCACTAATTTTCTTGCTCATAATATTTTAGGTAAAAAGCAAGGGTTGCAAGTAGTATATACAGTATGATCTCCGTTTTGCAAAAAGTACATATACAAATATAAAACAGAAATTAGAAAGATATATACTGAAATGTAAATAATGATTGTATCTAGGCATTGGGATCCTATTTTTTATTTATTATTTTATTTTATTATTATTTTTTAGAGGCAGAGTCTCACTTTGTTGCCCAGGCTGGAGTGCAGTGGCATGAATATAGCTCATTGCAACCTCAACTTCTGGGCTCAAGCAGTCCTCCCACCTCAGCCTCCTGAGTAGCTGGGACCACTGTCATGCATCACCACACTTGGCTAATTTATTTTTTTGTAGAGATGGGGTCTCACTATACTGCCCAGGCTGGTCTTGAACTCCTCAAGTGATATTCACACCTTAGCCTCCCAAAGTTCTGGAATTACAGGCATGGGCCACTGTGCCTGGCCTAAATTTTTTTATTTTTGTAAAGGTGGGGGTCTCACTATGTTGCTGAGGCTGGTCTTGAATTCCTGACCTCAAGAGATCCTCCCACCTTGGCCTTCCTAAATGCTGGGATTACAGGTGCGAGACACTGTGGCTGGCCAGGATCATGATTTTTAACACATCTCAGAATTTTTGCATTTTACATTATGAATTGAATTTTGCAAATTTTAATGTAATAAACATGTATTATTTTTATAATCAGAAAATACGATTCAGCCCCCTCTTCCCCACAATACAAAGGCATCACCTTTTTCCTTGGACAAAATTACAAAATAAATTCTGAGCTTTGTGGTTTTTGAGTTCTGGGGAAATAAGTTTCTGTGGAATACCTTATAGACATTAAAAAGTGAGGGGCGTGGGCACTCCACCTTCTTGATACCAAGTCAGACTCAGTCGGTTGAGGGCTTTTGCCAACACAGCTTGACTGTGCACCATCAGAGATCAAGAAGCAGGAGGGTACACAGTGCACCTGGAGAGAAAAGCCTCATGCCTGCAACCACAATGATGTCATATAACATCAGCATCTAGTCTGATTCTAGAACAGTCTGATGGCTTGCATGGTGGCCTTAGAAGCAGAGCCTTGCCTCCTGTAGGAGCACACAATCAGGAACACAGCAGAAAAGTGCTACCCTGTTTGTAAAAACAAGGCCCAGTTCAGAGTTCAAGCAGTGCCACCAAGGAAGCTATTTTTAAGTATCTAATTGCATTTGTAGCATCTGGCATTTTGCACACTTCAGTTTTATGACTTCAACATGATACATGTTCCGCAAGACAAACAAAAGAGAGATTAAGTGTGGTACACTGGAGTCATATTGAATATTCCCAGTATAGAAACACTAACATGCCCTAGCGATCATTCCAGGGCCAAGTAAAACATTACCCTACGTATAGAACCTTGGAGTGGGGAATACTTAGCCGTGCAGGAGAACGGGAATTTACTTCATTTATTAGGCCAGTACACAGCCTCAGATGCTAACGTGCACTGATAGGAAATGCCAACATTTCAACTTGAATCAAGGCTAGAGCCCGTAACACCGACACTTTGCCTTTCAGCAGAAGATCACAAACAGCACAAATCTGGGTTTCTTGTACTAATTGGGGAGGTTTTCTAATTTGCTTATGATATCTGCCTCATGTCGAGCTAATCTTCCTCTGGTTACCTCCTAACGCTGTCTGAAATAATCCGCTTACTCCTGGTCTGTCCGCAGCACTTTATATCAAGTAACACTCGCTTCCTGAACAGAGCCGCAGCAAAAGGCAGCCTCTGCCCCAGCCCTGTGCTTCTACTTCACCGAGTGTGCGACAATTACTGCAGATGCCTGTGACAGAGCCAGGCGAGGCGAGGAACAAGAGTGCATCACAGGCTTCTGAGTAAGTGAGATTGATGATGAAATATGTGCTAAACAGCACCAATTAACAACTGAAAGCATAATCTGATAAGCGTTTTGAAAAGACCGAGACTCAGACAGGCAGGCAAAATATTTCAGTGTGTTGAGCAGCCTACATATTTATTACTATCAACATCCAAACTCGGTTCAAAAAAACTTTTGTTTTTTTAAAAATACAGTTCCCACCCTTCCCTCTTTTAAAAGGCTCATGTAAACATTCACGGACACAGCCAGGAGGTTTCATAGATACGGGCTGGCAATACCACTTCAGTAATATCACTGCCGTATCTTGACTCGGTTTTAATGGGTTGGATTTTTGAAGAGTTCTGGAGAAGGAAATGTTCTAATTTTCAAAAAGGAGAATAACTCAAAATTCCAATGCTCATAAAACATGCTCTAGGTGTGTGTGGGGGGGTGATTATGCCAACACACAAAAGCAGCATTGCGCTAGGGTGCTGAGTGAGGGAAGAGTGTGGTACAGAGGTGAGAGCCAGGCTCGGGTCCCAGGTGGGCTGCTAGGCTGTGTGACCTTAGGCAGAGCACGTTCTGCTTCTGGGCCCCCATTTCCTGATCTGTAAAGCATGAGATGTTGGAGCACATAAGGACTGGGGGATGTTTAAGACTCCTTCTAACACTAAGAGTCTAACACTAAGTTTGTTTTTTTTTGTCTGTTTGTTTGTGTTTGTTTTGGGAGATATCTCGCACTGTCACTCAAGCTGGAGTGCAATGGCGAAATCTCGGTTCACGGCAACCTCCCTCCACCTCCTGGGTTCACATGAGTCTCCTGCCTCAACCTCCTCAGTAGCTGGAATTACAGGCGCACACCACCACGCCGGCTAATTTTTTTTTGTATTTTTAGTAGAGACAGGGTTTCACTACGTTGGCCAGACTGGTCTCGAACTCCTAACCTCATGATCTGTCTGCTTCAGTCTCCTAAAGTGCTGGGATTACAGGTGTGAGCCACCGCGCCCAGCCAAGTCTATAGTTTTTAATTGAAAGGTTCTTACTCCTTTTCCTATAAAGGTGTCTCTTCCAAATAAGCAATCCCAGCATCTCTTTGCCCCTTCTATGCAACACATCATATTTGAAAGCATTTCCCTCACATTTTAGGAGGCTACTGAAGGGGGAAAAAAAAGTTATATTGTTTAATCCTACTTTATAGGAGTTTGCTTTTTATTAGAGGACAGACCCAGAACAGTGATCAGTAAGTTATACGTACCCAAAGTGAGGGGGTGCTGTGGGGGGAAGAAAAAACGCGGCTGCCTTCAAGTGCCTTGTGGAAATATATAAAACAAGCAGCGAGATAGTCCTTTGCCAAACACTGTCATAAATTTTTTATTTGGCAGCTAACATTCTCACTAGTTTTCTTGGCAGCAATTGGGACCTTTAGCAAGAAAGGTGCAGAAGAAAAAATACCTTGTTTAGAGATGTTTTCAACACTTTCTGGGATTTTTCAGAACTTCTGCCTGCAGCACATTTTTACAACTACGGTCTCCAATCACCTGATGAGTGGGTGGTGGGGTTTAAACTTTTTTCTTTTTTTAAAGAAAAGAATATATAGAGAGAAAGTGAACAAGCAGTGCTACCCCCCTCTGGCCTTTTGCTGAGCGTGTCTTTCTTATTTTTTTTGTGGTAGGTATTTCTGATATCCAAGTGCTTAGTCTTCCCTGTCTAGACAAAAAAACTGAAAATAATATCAGAATGTACCTTTTGTTATGCCTGATACTATCTATATTGTATTCCCAGATGACAGAGATAAATGAAAGTGAAACAAGCTGATGACTAGGGCATTTTTCTTCCACAGTTCTGCCAAAAACAGGTCCCAACTGTTGCCTTTGGGTCAGCTAATGGGCCAAGAGCTGCCTGGATTCAAAGCTGATGTGAGCACATGCAGATAGGATCCTGGCAGTGACACCCTGATGGTGGAAGGAACGAAACAAGAGCATGCAGAGCTGATTATTGCCATATTGGAGAACCTCAAGCACCAAATGCTCTTGGACTTGGGGATTCTGGGAAGTAGAAACCCAAACCCACAAACATGAGGACACCCTTTCATTGCAAGGGTGTCCTAAATGCTTTCTACAAACACATTCTACAGACTAGCAAAAAGCCTCCTACCAGGGGACTTCCAGCTATGAGTAAAGGGGTTGGCACATTTACTCCCCCCAAAACAAGTATAAAGCTGGAGAATGGACAAAAAAACAAAAACAAAACTCTTTTAGTACTCTGGATAATGACCAAAGGCAAAAAACAAATTGAGAAGTGCTTATTCATAGAAAACTGGCAGAACTTTGGGTAAGAACAACCCTACCTCACCCCTTAGCTTAGTTGGCTAGAATGATGGTTTTACCAGGGTGGGGATGCCAGAGGAAGATGACTTGATTTGGAGCAGAGGGTAAAACCTGGGCCCTAGCAGCACTGTCAATAAAAGTAGCAAACTTGGTAGGATAATGAATGGTGAAAACCCACAGCTCTGCTAGCCTGAAGTTACAGTCACAGTTGGGGTGGGTAACAGACCAAAAATGTGATGGGGAGATCCTGGAAATGAAAGAGCCATAGAATGCATCTCTTACGGACTGGGAAAGTATGTGAATGTGCTGGCAAGACCCGAGAGACACCAGTGAGAAGCCAAAGCTCAGGCAGTCTTGGGAACTGGCTGAACTTTGAATGTGCTCTGCAACCCACACACACATTGCTGCAGAGGATGGAAGCTTTATAAGTTCGAGGTTTTTGAACACAATCTCTACCCAATCATTGGCTGATCACTAAGCTATGCACAGAAAGGGGCGACCCCTAGGAAACCATCCTCATAAAATAAAAATAAGACGTGGGGGGAAAAAAAAAAAACAAAAACTGAGCAGACTGCAGGGGAGATAGATTCTACAGATTACATTCAGGAAAGTTACTTAAAAATACTAGACTCTTGAGTTGCTACAATATATTATTAAGAATGTCCCATTTTCAACAAAAAATGACATAACCACCACCAAAAAAGAAAAGAAAAAAGAAAAAGAAAAAGAAAAAGTGTGGTCTATATATTCAGGGAAAAAAAGCAGTCAATAGAAACTGACTCTGAGTGGCTCTGATGTTAGATTTAGCAAAGACTCCCAACCAACTATTAGAAATATGTTCAAAGAATTAAAGAAAATTATGCTTAAAGAATCTGAAGAAATTATGATGATAACACCTTAACAAACAGGAAACTTCAACAGAGAAAGAGAAACTATAAAAAAGAGCCAAATGGAAATCCTACAGTTGAATATACAGTGAATAAAATGAAGAGGAATCGTGAACTTGAAAAATCTGTCTAAAGAAATTATCTAATGTGAAGAACAGAATGACAAAAAGACTGATGAAAAATGAACAGGGCTTCAAAGACCCATGTGACAATGTCAAGCATACCAACATATGTGTAATGGGAATCCAAGAAGGAAAGGAGACAGAGTGAATAGCAGATAAATATGTTGGTAGAAATGATGGCGGACAGCTAAACTCTTGAAAGGAGCAAGATGAAAATGACTCATCATGCACAGGCAAATAACAATATGATTAATGGCTGAATTATCACAGAAACAATGGAAGAGAAGACAGTGGAATGATGTATTTTAGGTGTCAAAAGGGTGAGGTGGGGGACTTATCAACCAAGAATTCTATATCTAGAAATACTATCTGCTAAAAGTGAAGGTGACATAAAGACCTTTCTAGATTAACAAATAAGAAGAGAATGTTTTGTTAGTAGACTTGCTATATGAGAAATAGTAAATAAAGTCCTTTAGGCTAAAAGAAATTATGCCAGATGGTAACTCAAATTCACAGAAAGAAATAAGAACACTGGAAATGGTAAATATATAGGCAAATATAAAAGACTGTATAAATATATACATTTTTTTCTCTTCCCTTAATTTCTTTAAAAACACTTAGATTGCATAGCACTCACTATAATTTTGTATTGTTGGTTTTATATCATGTGTAGACATGGTAATCATAGTCATATCTGTACATATCCAAGGAAGAGGGAGGAAATTGTTATAATGAAATAACCCTGCTATATTTTATTAGAATTAAGTCAGTATCAAACTGAAGTAGATTATGAAAAGTTAGAAGATATAATTCTCAGAGCAAAGACTGAGAACATTTAAAAATGTAATTAAAAATACATGAATTAAAATGGCACACAAAAATATATTTTTAAAAAGAAAGCAGAAAAGAAGAAACAGTAAGAAAAAAGACACAAGGAATATTGAAAACAAATAGCAAAATGGCAGAAATAAATTCAACAGGACAAAAAAAATCTCATGTTAAATGTTAATGGACTAAATGATAACAAGTAAATGTGAAAGGACTAAACACTCCAATCAAACAGCTGAGATTGTTAGACTGGATATAGAAGGCCCAACTTTATCCTGTCTGTAAGAGACACATGTCAGATTGAAAAGCACATAGAGGTTGAAAGTTAAAAGATGAAAAAAATATATGCAAACAGTACCTATAAGGGGCTAGAGTGAGCCCCTTAAGACACATGGCTTTTAAGACACATGGCTTTTAAGACAAGAAGTAGTCCTAGGGACAAAGAAGGAGCTTTCACAAATAGAAAAGAATTAATGCATCAAGAAGATATAATGATTATAAATATACACAGCTAATAACCAAGTCTTGAAATACATGAAGTAAAAGCTGATAGACAAAAGGAGAATAGAAAGTTCAACAACTATACTTGGAGATTTCAATACCCTATTCTCAATAATTGATAGAACAACTAGACAGAAAATCAGTAAGGCTATAGATAGACTAGATATAGAAATCAATATTTATAGAACATGCATAGACCATACATAGGCCATAAAACAAGTCCTAATAATTTATTATTAAAAACATTGAAATAATAAAAAAATGTTCTCTAATCACAACACTAAATTAGAAATCAATAATAGAAGTTAATTTGGTGGCCATGGGCGATGACTCACGCCTGTAATCACAGAACTT